CCATGGATCCCAAAATCCTTGGATGCTCAAGTCCCTTATATAAAATGGCTTAGAATTTATTTACATATAACCTATACATATTCTCCCATATACTTGAAATCACCTCTAGATTACTTAGAATACAATGTAAATGCTATGTAAATAGTTGTTATACTGTATCGTTTAGAGAATAATGTTCGGTACAGATACAACCATTGTAGGCCCAACTACATAGAACACATAAAACATAAGATAATATTTCTGCCCCCCCCACCCCTGAATACTTTGCATCCATGGCTGAATCCATGGATGCAGAACACACAAACATGAAGAGGCAACTATGTTAGGAGGTGGGGCCTTTGAGGGGTGATTAGGTCGTGAGGGTGGAGCCCTCATGCATGGGATTAGTGCCCTTATTAAAGAGACCCCACAGAGCCCTTTATCCCTTTCTACCATAGAAGAATATAAGGAGAAGTCTGCAGTCTGGAAGAGGACCTTCGTCCGACCTGCTGACACCCTGATCTTGACCTCTAGCCTCCAGAACTGTGAGAAATAAATTTCTGTTGTCTGTAAGTCACTTGGGTTGTGGTATTTTGTAATAGCGGCCCCGAAGAACTGAGACAGCCACTAAGTTGCCTAGAGCATCATCCCGATATGCTAAAGTTGTAGGTTCAATCCCCTGTCAGGGCACATACAAGAAGAAAATGATTAGAAGGGTAAATTTTCCAATATGTGTATTTTACCATAATTAAATATCAAAATATTTAATACAAAAAGATTAAGATCAAAATCTCCCTGAAGTCTACCACTCAGAGATAATACTAATAGCATTTTGCCACGTATTCTTCCAGAGGCAAATACAAATGAATGATATGGTACATATTATAAAAATAGCATACTGTTTGGTAACCTGCTCTTTAGAAATACCTATTTTTCTATGTTAATAGATAAACATCTCTGTCCTATATTTTTTTGTAGCCAAATGGTATTCCAAAGTATATAGATACACTATAATTAACAAGTTAGTGAGCACTTGGTCTTCACTTTTTTGTTGCGATGGTTGTTATCATAAACAATGCTGCAGAGGACATCGCTGTACTCATATTCTTCTGCGTGTCCAATTGTATCCTCAGAATAAGGATTCCTCCAGGTAGAACTGCTGAGTCTGGGACTCCCTTGGGAAGCTCACCAGCAAAGAAGCGCAGCAGGGATGTTGAATTCTGTGTTATGAAAGTCTGTTTCCCCACGTGGACTGCTCCTGGATTCCACTTGAGTGTCTATGACGTTGCACAGTTTCGGGGAAGGAGGGACAGTCCTTTCCGAGAGAAACCATCCCCCTCCTCCCCACTGCCCCGCTTCCTCGGGGGACACAGCATGCCTGTGTCATGAAGTGAAATTGGTACACCCGGAAGGTGAAATGTTACTGGGTTGATGTCCACTGGATCCCGGCGCCAGCAGGAAGACTCCAGCAAAGCACTAGAGTGGTCCAGTGCTGGGTGCCCCACACTGGACACATGAAGGGTTTTCTTTTGTTCATGGTTTGTTCTTGGGTGGAGAGAAGGAGAATGCAATGGGCTCTTCCTAAAAAGATCAAGGGCTAGAAGGGACTAGTGGCATCATCTAACCCCTTGCTTGGAGATAAGGAAACCGAGGCCCAGAAAGACCCAGAGCATTAACATTTCAATCATCTTCAAACGAGCCCAGAAGTGTCTCACACAGAATGAATCAACCAGCTCAGGGAAGAATCGAACATACCCTAAATGTTGACATCTAGTGCATTTTTTTTCCTCCTTCCTATGTACAAAATTGGAAACTAAGACCCAAGGTCTCATCCAAGCTCAGACACGACCAGACCTGTGCTGAGGCCGGCTCCTGCTGGCGGCAGGAGCTGATGGAGCACATCTCGGCCCAACTCAGTGTTGAGTAATGCCATGTAGCAGCCTGAAATCTGCCACAGTGTGTATATTTTCACTAAAAAAAAAAACCTAGCAAATAGCACAAATCAGAGTGTTTTCCTCCCTGCGGAGCCAGTTGGTAAACGTCACAGGTCACAGTCTAGATGGAAAAGCCATGAGCAGGTGGCCTCGTTTTGCTCATACGGCCTGAGGACGGCACTATAATCCTCTGTGGTCCATTGTAACTTTCACTCCTAAACCCATCACAGGCCCTTCTACACTGATCAGTGAGCCAGCAAATGTTTGTCTGCTCGCTGCCTGCCAGGCCCCGGCTGAGCACGCAGCACAGTATCCCTGTGAGATCGGTATCATTTCCATCTTACACTCAGGGAACCTAACACTCAAGAGACTTCAAATGACTTTTTAATTACAGGCTACAGCCTTTCTTAGGATGCTGACCCCAAGATACTTGGGGATGCTTGGGGTCGCAGAAGCTGACCCCAAGATACAGGTTCAGGTGCCAGTGGAAGGCAGCGGGAAAGTGAACAAGGACAGGAAGGCAGCCAATGACAGAAGTTCTGAGACAGCACAGAACGTGCTCCAAAGTTACCCCAACAAACAGGTGAGGGGGCTGAAGTATTTAGCACCCTCTCCCATCAGCCATCATCGGTTGAGGCCAAAGGCACGCGGGAGGATGCTGACATCACTCAACGCCACACGGCTAGAAAATGGTAGAGTACAGTTCAAACGCCAAGTTCAGAACTAGTTTCATTACTCTTAGAGAATGAGCCATTCATGAAACAAACACTTAACTGAGTGCCAATTATGGGTATAAAGCACCACGCTGGTGAAGTAAACCCACTTTGTCGAGTCGCTTTGGCTTGACACATCCCGGGGAGCACAGGTATCTTTTTGCCAATTTTTATGAATAAAAATAATAGAAAAAGCCCTTCCAGGTTACTTTGCCGGTCCCATGGGAATCAGCCAAATGCCCTTCCCGCCCGCTTCTCCTGTGAGAGACTGCCTTCTCTGGTTCAACCAGTCACCTTGGGCAGGAGTTCCGCAGCCCCACAGGTCATCCCAAGCAGCTACGTCAATCTGTGATTACAGGCTCCAGAGTCGGCCAGGCCAGGGATGACCAAAAATGACCCCCTGGTCGTCCAGCCAGCTGAGTCTGAAGACTGTCCCTGTTCATTGTGCCCTGCTTTCCCTGAGCCTCCTGCCCCCTCCCCTCCCCTCAATGTCCTCCATGGGAACCTACAAGCAGGCCAAATAAATGAAACCACAATCACAGGTCTGTGGTAGCTTACCCAACCTTAAGGATTTATTTAAAATTCTTCTGAAGAGGCGGGGAGGTGTTTAAATAGGCCAGGGTGTCATTGGGCTAAATCATGGGGCCATACTTCGAACAGTGGAGGGAGGGGACTGTGGCCCTGGTTTCATAAACCCAGCTGTGGCTGTTCTCAGCAACTATGTCTTGAAGACAGAGACTGGATGACGTGTTTTACTCCAAGCCCATGGTGGGGAACTGCCCTGTTTTTCACTCTGGGGGGAGAGGAGAAGATGACGTAGGCAAGTCCCAGAACTGCTCTTGGATCACCCAGTTCGCATCCCTCCCTCTCCACGGGCTTCCCTAGCAATCTGGTCCTGATCCTGTCCCCCACCTCAAAGTGAGCTCACGTCCTGCCAATGTATCTTAGAGAGGACTGAAAGCTATAATCAGGCCAAGGTCCTCTTGTGCTTTGGAGACAGGACCCTTTTCTGGCAAGCTCTGCAGTCCGGCGTTTGGCACGCCAGTGCAGGCCCCAGGCTCTTCGGTCCTGGGCATCTCTCTGGCTCACTCTTTCAGCCACTCCTAAGCAGTTCACACACGGAAAGCAGACACAAAGCTTGGCTCCGGGGCACCAGGAAATAGACCAAGAAATCAGAGCAAAACCAGCAATGACTAGTAAGTCCCAGGTAGGCCAGTGCACCAGACACCAAGGCAGGCTGAAGGGCCAAAAACAAGGTGTCGGGTCACCTACCACTCCCAACTCCTAAGACAACACAAACTGAAGAGGAGGTCTGAACCCCCAAACAGAAGCCATGCAGAGAGGCAAGTTCAGGAGCCCAAGCACAGAGACAGACCACCCTCAGGAAGGTGGGGATGCTGCCAGCTAGAGATGCAGCAGGTGCGGGTGCTGCATATGCCCCGGCCCACTCAGCCAGGTGTAGATAGGACACTCCCACCTTCCCTAGAAGGATGGCATGACTGAGCACCTCATATCCCCTGGCCCCCTCCCAACCAGGCTCCCCAAAGGTGCCCCTCATCATTCTAACCAATTTCACCAGCACATAAATGAGGGCAGAAGAGCATGGGCTACGTTTACGCTGAATAGCAAAGATTATCTGATCTCCCCAATACTCGACCTCTGCTCTCCCCCCTCTTCTGGAGGAGGAGTGAGACTCACCTCCAGCCTCCCCAGGACAGGGAAACCCGAACTGTACAGCCCAGCCTTCAGGCGCCCCAGCAGGCTGCTTGCTATGCCTCTGTGTCTCCTGGGGCAAGAACTACCCTCTTTCCAAAACTACCCCACCTCTCTGATCCCAGCCATCATTTGAGGCCCTCTCTATCCACACCTCCCCACCCAGCGCCACCCCCCTCCTCCTGCCTGTCCCAGCTCCCGGGCATCAGCTGACCTGTCTAGAGGAGAAAGAACAGCCGGTGCCCAGACTCATGGCCCCACTCCAGGGTCTCTGATCCCAAATGGGTACCTCCCAGGCCAACTCCACGCCGCGTCTAGGACACAAGCTAAAAAGAATGAACTCTCCTCAAGCAACCCAATATATCATAGTCAGGAGAAGTGTCTTTAATTTTTCAGACTGCTGCAGAAAAAGTTCCTAGTAAGTAAATGTGGATTGATACGTAAAATATTTCCAACCCCGGATTCCTCATCCAGATGCTCTGGAAAGAAGGCCCCTGGCTCTGGCTCACAGGCAGCTGTTTAAAACAATCATCGTTTCTAATTCTTTCCTTCCATTGTACCAAGATCAACCGTGGCAGGAACCGAGTTCCGCTCCAGGGCAAATTGTTAACTTGTCAGCTCATTGGTTCAAACATTCATTCATTATATGTAAGGTACTCACTTTAAACTTGGCCGCCCTCCACACAGCCTCTGTCCTCTGGGAGACCACGCTCTAGAGACGCGAATTCGGGTCACCTGGGAACAAAGTGCATGCAGCGCTGAGAAGCCTCGAGCTCAGTTCCTCTGCTCAGCGAGGTGCAAAGGTGCTGTGATCAGCCCAGGTCCCGCAGAGCGACTCTGAGCAAGATGGACCCGTCAGGTCCTCCGTCAGGCCACTGCGCCTCTCTGCTGTCCCTAGGGCTCTCTCTGCTTAGAAGCCAAATGTAAGGCGGGCGCTCGAAATACAGAAGGGACTGGGGTCCGCCCAAGGCACCTGCCGCTCCCCGGCAGAGCACAAAAAGCCCAGGTCTCCACTGCCCTCAAGCACCAGCTCCGGAGGCGGGAGGGCGGGAAGACCGTAAAGGGGAAGTGCCCCAGGACCAGCCCCCGCCCCGCTCCGAGCACCCAACCTCCCCGTGAAGGCGGAGGGGGCCTGCTCGGGGCGGGGGAGGGGGGCTGGAACCCACCTCTGGGGAAGTGTCCGTGGGGCCGGGAAGAAGTGGACCGGACTGCAGTCCAGGCGCCAGCCATCCGCGCACCTGCCGCCCCGCCCCACCTCGCCAGGGAGTCCCGGGGACCCTGGGGGTGAAGTAGGGGTGCCTTCCCGCCACCGCCCTTGAGGCAGACAGAAAGAAGAACCCCCAGGGCTCGGGGCGGGAGGACGGGATCGGAGCCACAAGTTTCTCCGGCGGAAGGCGAGCGGGCAGGGGCTCCAAGCCCACGCAGCCCCTGGGGAGTCGGCAGCCCCGGGCACCTCCGGCGACTGGGAGAGAAGGGAGGAGACCAGGGGCAGGCGAGGACTGAGGGACTGACCCAGACCGGGCAGGGGACTCGGTGGGAGAACTTTCGGCCAGGCGGGAGAGGGGCAGGGCAGCGAGGCCCGCCGGCGCCTGCACCTTGCGCCCCGCGCGCTGCCTCCGCAGCCCTGTCCCCGCGCCCCGCGCCCCGCGCCTTGCCTGCGTTCCAAGACGGCTGCATCTCGCGCGCGTGCTAGAGACCGTGGAGTTGGAAAGAGGGGGGCCCGGCCCGGCGCGGGGAGCTGCTCCGGCCCGAGCCTGGGTCAGCGGCCGGAGGGTCAGGATCAAATCCGGCGGGGCAGGGTTGTAGGCGGCCGGGTGACTGGGGGTCGGACGCCCCGCCCTCCCGGCGCCCCCTCCACCCCTCCTCGCCCTCTCGCCCGCCCCAAAGCCTTTATCTCCCCTTATCCAGTCTGATCGTCCTCCCTCCCCCGCTTTCTCCAGCTCTCCATCTCCCCACGCCCCTCTTCCCTCGCCTTTCTTCCTCCCTCCCCTCCCCCTCCCCCTCTCTCCCCTCCCCCCTGGGGGGCGGAGCTTCTCCCCTCCCTCCCTCCCAGACAATGCTGTGGCAGCGCGTCCCCTACTTCCCCGCCTTCCAGTCGCGGCTCCGGCTGTCAGAGCCTCTTCGGGCGGGGGCAGGGGCGGGGTAAGGGGTGTGAATGCCGGGAGGGGATAAAAGTGCGAGGGTGAGGAGCATGAACTGGCTCCCCTCATTCTTCGCTCTGCCCTCTCGGGGAGGGATAGAGTCTTCGCTCTAGTCCCTCGGCTCGCCCCGCGCTGTGACAGCCACTCCCAGGGAACAGTCACTTTGCCCCGGGGAGCCCACCTCGAACGCTCCGGATTTCCCAGGCAGCGGACGTGGGATTCCTCCCACCCCCCAACATCCAGGCTTATTCCAAAAAGGGTTTGAGCTGAGCAAGAGCTAAGCCAGGCCCCTCCGACTTCGCGGGCTGGCAGACGTGACAGTAATGTGAAGGAGGCCAAGAGTCTTTGTCCACTTCTCACCTCCCCCCCTTATCCACTCTTGGACCTCGAGGGGCTCTCGGTGCCCAGGAAGCCTTAGAGCACCCCAGCTGCGGGCGCGGGAAGGGGGTGCTTCTCTGCTCCCTCCCTGTTTTCGGAATTCTCTCTTCGCATATATACCCCAATTATGAAAAGTCAGTCCCCAGCCAAAGGGAAGGGACCCAATAGTAAATGGGTAGTCAGGCCGTAGGATACAGCAGGATCAGCTCATCCCTCCTGGAAGCCAAACATTCTCTACTAAATTCATTGTTTGGATCTTGGAATGTGTCTCCCTTAGAAACAATATTATAACATGGAAATAAGAACAAACTGACAGTGACCAGAGGGGAGAGGGGAGGGGGATAAGGGGGGAAACAAGGGGAAAGGACGAATCAAGGAACGTGTATAAAAGACCCGTGGGCATGGACAACCCGGTGGGGACTGATGGGGGTGGGGGGGGAGCAGGGGAGAGCAATGGGGGAAAATGGGATGCCTGTAATTGAACAATAATTCTAAAAATTAAAAAAGAAAGAAAAAAGAAACAATATTATAAATGGTGATCTGCTTCCCAGGCCAGCCACAAAAGTCCTTTGAACCCAAAGCAGCTGTAGGGCAGCACAGAGAACAAGGAGGCCACTGACCAGCTTTTTCTATAGAAAAAAAAAAAATCATCTGGTTCTTTCCCCTTGAGCTATAAACACAAAGCTCTCCCTTGAATTCCCCCCTCGAGCCACTACTGTGTATTAGTTAAGCTTCTTTCCTTCGCAGGTAACGTGAGCACCCTCAAAGGAATGTCTTCTGAGGACAGGGGCAATTTCCCTGTAGCCTCAGGGTCACAACGGCAGGGAAAGCCCAGCCAGAGTTAAATCCAGAGCCTGGAGGGCTTCCAGTAACACAGGCCAACTCTGCCCTTACATCGGGGGTGTCAGATGCATTTTCAGCGGGGCCCACTTCAGGCTCCACGTTGCCTTCAAAGGGCTGAATGTAATTTTAGGACTGTATAAATGTAACTACTCCTTAACAGTTAAGTAAGAGCTCAGTGCTGCTGTGGGGTAGAAACAAGGTGTGGAGCAGATGAGACAAGGTGGAGGGCCGGATTCCTTCCAAGTGCCTTCTGTTTGCCACCTGTGCCTTATGACACAGATTAACATTTCCCACGCCCCCAGATACATGACTAAGGGTGGTAATTGCTTGCATTGCTGGGGCTTGGAGCTCCCTTGTTGAGGAAAGCAGCCAGGCAAAACTAGAATTCCTGAGTCTCTATTCCAATTTCCCAGAAGAGCAGCTCATTGGCCCAGCTTGGGTCAGGTGTGTATCCCATGTCCAATCAACTCGTGCCAGCGGGAGGCTTACCTTGTCCAAATGAAACTGCCAGGAACCCTAACCATATGCTCTGCTTAAAATAAAATCCATTCCTCTTCACTTGAACTCTCCATGGTGGTCAATAAATTGATTGATTAGTTCAAGACATCAGAAAACCTCTTTGTTTTTATCCATTTCCCTACACAGGAGTCACAGGAGAGAAAGGAATCGGCCCTTAATCCTCCAAGTCAGTATAGGGACAATACACTTGCAACAGGGACAATAGTTTGCAAACTGATTATTAAGACACCCCACCACCACCACCAAGCCCTGCTTCTTGCAGCCTTCCACCCCCAGGGACTGGGTCAGGAGGCACATGGCCTCAGGGAAGCAGCAGAGAAGCATGGCCTACCACCAGCCCTTCAGTAGGAATGCAATGCAAACTGCAGGTGTGCGTTACAACTTTCTAGCCACATTACAAGCAGTAAAAAGAAACTAGTGAAATTCATTTTAACATATTGTATTTAAACCAAATATCCAAAAGATTACCGTCTCAATCTGTAAACAATATAAAGAAGTTATTCATGAGAAATTTTATATTCTATTTTTCTACCAAGGCTAAGAAAATCGGGTGTGGATTTACACACATCTCAGTTTGGATGTTAAATTTTCATCAAAAATACTTGTCTGTATTTAGGTTTTATATAATTTCTACTTGAAAAAGTACATTCATGTACCCAATTTGTTCCAAACAACTTGTTTAAAAGTTTCCCCAAAATTCATTTGAGTGTTTTTTAATGTAAATTCTAATTAAGATTACATAAACTTAAAATTCAGTTCCACTAGTCTCATTTCAATTGCTCAAGAACTGCATGTGGCCCTGGCTGGTGTAGCTCAGTGGATTGAGCACGGACCTGCGAACCAGACAATCGCGGTTCGATTCCCAGTCAGGGCACATGCCTGGGTTGCAGGCCAGTTCCCTGCAGGCCAATTCCCAGCAGGGGACGCACGAAAGGCAACCATACATTGATGTTTCTCTCCCTCTCTCCTTTCCTTCCCCTCTAAAGATAAATAAATAAAATCTTTAAAAAAAAAAAAAAAAGAACTGCATGTGGCTAGTGGCTCCCCTATTGGTACTGAGCAAGTTCATGGAGCAAGGATGTCACTGATGGGCTCAGAGTCTCACAACCAATTTCCCTTATCCCTTTAGCAGAATAGTGGCAGAAATGTCAAGCATGGCCAGACAGAAAATGATTTTCCAAATTCCTTTACGTCCCCCTGTAACATCTCCGGTGGCAGCCTTTGCCAGTAGATCTGAGTTCTACCTTATGCCTCAGAAAAAGCAGGATACGCAGAGAAGTGGGTGCCCAGAGCCCACTCTTCTGCTCCCAGTGGATAGAGTCTAAGAGAAGGGTAGAAGCAGGGGACACAGACTGTTGGAAATGCCTCGTCTACCCAGTTTTTGACCTTCCACCAGAGTGAGGATATATTTCCAGGGGTGAAGGGAGTTCTGGAGGACAGAAGGGAGAAGCCTGCCACACTGGCTGCTCTTCCCTGTTGTCAGGTACTGACCAAGGAGACAGGGCAGCTTCACTAAGGTCAACTTAGTGGGTCACCATGACTACATAGAGGGAGGGCCTGCGTTTAGTTTTCTAGGGTCACTTCACGATTCACGCATAGCCTAGACATGAAGTTTCCACCTGCTCCCAAGGACCAGGGGCCTCGGAAGGAAACCAGGCACTGAAGCACAGGCCTCCCACAGGTATTGTCTTTGAATTCCCTCAAAAGCAGAACTGGAGACAAGGACATGGGTACAGGCAATTTACTTAAGAATTAATTTTAGGCCCTGGCTGGTGTAGCTCAGTGGATTGAGCGCGGGCCTGCGAACCACACGATCGCGGTTCGATTCCCAGTCAGGGCACATGCCTGGGTTGCAGGCTGGTTCCCTGCAGGCCAGTTCCCAGCAGGGGACGCACAAAAGGCAACCATACATTGATGTTTCTCTCCCTCTCTCCTTCCCCCACTTCCCCTCTAAAGATAAATAAATAATAAAATATTTTTTAAAAAAAAAGAATTAATTTTAGAAAGCAAGAGAGTGAGACAGGTAAGGAGAAGCTAGTAAAGGGTGTGCAACAGGGGCTCCATCCCTCTGGGGACCCTCCAAGGAAGTGTGTAAAGTGAGCCTCAGACCTGTCCTCTCTGAAGGTTGAGGGTGGGGTCTGGGGCATTTATCCACCAACTCTCATCCCCCACAGGCTG